GGATAAATGGCAGCATTTTTCTGCTGCATTGGCACACATCTGATTTGCCAAAAGTGTACCAACACTTGGAAGAACGGCAGAAATCTCGAGCGGTATTGCATTCGTATATTTCGAATGAAAGATAACGAAAAAAGAAAACATACGAGCACCCAAAGATGGAGTGATGCGGATGAATTAAGCTCCAGAATGAATAGCAAGAAAAGTAAGATTAGCCGAAAAATCTGCAGTATCTGTGGCGATAATGCAGTGCGATTTCAGGGGCATTCTGGTGGATGATGCTAATAGTGGAATTACCACGAAATTTGTGATGATGATCCATCGAAAAAGCATTGATGAATCGGTATTGTAAATGATCGAAAAGAAATTGGGAAACCCAATGTTCAAACACGTGGGAGTGTAGACAATAAATGTGTCGTTTGCATGGCCAATATTTGAAGGAACTTTTACCAAACAAAAGGCAAGACAAAACAGAAGAAACGAGGCGTTCATCAAGCTGGCCCCATCATTTCGAGCTCAAAAGGCAACACTGTTTGTTCCGTTGTTTGTGGCAATAATACTAACAGCATGTTCACAAGCATCAAATGGTGTCCAGACCAGTTTTGTGTTGACATTAATCGAAGAGATGTCTTTGGCACTGAAAACGACGTCAAGTGGTGAGGCGATTTCAATTGTAGACAGATTATCAGCATCAAATGAAGAAAGAATCAAAATTTATGGGCACCAGAAACGCCAAGTCAAAGCGAAGAGACAACGTTCATACGATAGAAGCCATGCTTCATGGGAGAAATTGATATAAATGTAAAAGCTATTGAGGAGAAGGTTAAAAAGCGAAAATGTTGGTAAGAAAATAGAATGATTAGTTGCGAAAATCTAGCTCATCCATAGATGCATGGTGCACTTTTGGTTCAGATATCTTAGAAAAACAAAGCAAAAGCATTTATAAATTGCAAAGAACCCAAAAAACAGCAAATATAGCAACAAGGAGCAGATTTCATACTTGATGGCGAAATTGGCCTATTCACGTTTTTGGAAAAATAGGAATCCATCGATGCACCCATCCATGCATCCATCGATACACCCATCCATGCATCCATCGATGTACCCATCCAAGTTGCCTGATAAAATTTAATTTCAAAATAAAAACCGCATGKAATTTTGGTGCCCCCAATTCAAATGTCCATTAATACGCTTCCGGGTACAAAGTCGATCCATGGAACGGACCCACAGTTTCTTATTGAAAAAATAGTTCGAGAACGAATATATGAAAGCCTGTATTGGAAGCAGGAATGCTACGATCTTACTACAGAATCCTTGGTGGAAAAGGCCGTGCGTCTTTCACACATTGGAAGTACCTTTGGCGGCAATCAAAAGCCGACCCCATTTCTCTGCCTACTACTGAAGTTGTTACAGTTACAGCCAGATTTTGAAATAGTCTATGCATTGATAAAAGACCCTACATTCAAGTATCTTCGCATTCTAGCCTCTTTTTATTTACGGCTTGTTGGTCGTCCTCGCGACATATATGAAAATCTGGAGCCGCTATATTCAGATTACAGGAAGATTAGGGTAAAAGCACCCTCTTCCGATTATTATCTTTTGTGCATTGACCAAGTTATTGAGACACTGCTTAATGAGGATGGAATCTTTTCGATTCACCTACCAAGGATACCCAAACGGCGAGACGTCGAGGCGAAAGACGGCTTGGCACCCAGAACTTCTTGCCTTGCCGACCAATTGACCTCATAAAGAGCGATATAAACCTCGACCCCGTTTTATACATAAATAAATAATTCGCTACTGCTCAACTGGGTAGGCGCTTTGAATTTAATTAATTGGCCAACTCTGGTTAATCCGTCAAAAGCACCTACTTTACAATTAGCCGTTGTCTGTATGTCACTAAAATGTCCCTCATGCAACGAATGTCCAATTATTGGCAAAAGCTTCGTGAACCATTGCCTCCCAACTGCGTTAGACTTTGCAGAATTATTTCAGAATGAGCTTGTAAGTTGTTGGAGATCGCCGTCATTTTATAGATCAGCAGAATTTTCCATGACAAGCTCTCAAAAGGTAACTGGCGGTGTGTAGATGGAGATGAATTTACATTCATGAATATTGGCGTCACAAAGCCGCTTCAGGGCAATCCACTGATCTCTAGACTTCTTTATTGCCCAGATTGCGAAAGCATCATAGGAATTGTGACGTTGCTTCAAAAATACTTGCTCCTCATCCCATAATTCCCACGGTAGCGTAATAACCATCCGACCTATTTCGAAAACTGGCCAAAAGAGCTCCCTATGCCGATCCTGGAGGCTAATAAACGAATTGGGGTTACTCTCCAGAATGTTAGGGTTAGGGTCGGTTTGGTGAGGCAATTTAGGGTTAACCTTGTTGTAGGTTGCAAATTTCGTGGAAATTTTATGCAGGCAGAATTGAAGGCGTCTGGCGATTCTTCCTTTAATCGTATGTGTATCATTCCACCTACCCTTCACAGGCCAAAATTATCGCGAAGCAACTAAATTTTATGAAAAGGCACTGACAACAGGATGTGATGCTTCCATCCTATGCAACAAAGCGTTATGCCATTTTAAGCTTCAAGAATGGGACGAGTGCCTTACGGCCTCGTCGGCTGCAATAGTTCTTTTACCCTCCTATGAAAAGGTTCTTCAATTGCACTGTAATTGTATAGGCCCATTTTTACAAAGTTTCATCGCTCATTAAACTTCGGCAGCCGCAAAAGGCAATCGAGGCATGTCGAGTGGTATTTTTGAGGCCAGATTACGATTTCCATTAGATCCTGAACAAAAGTGAGCCCCAAAGCCAGCTTTTCATTGACAAGTTGAAGGAGGCTGAAAGACTTCAACGGTCGCTTACCTTTGAAGCTGCCATCCATATTCCCCAGAAAGAGCTCTCCATCTCCCTTATTCTCAAATCAGGTAAAATGTAAACAATTTATCCATAGAGGTTCCGCCATCTGGTGTTTACACGGGTCCTCGTTTGCTGGATGAAACAAAAACGATATCCTCTGTGCACGATATCCTTATACCGATTCAATGGATTTGTAACGAGCTGGTTCCTTTTCTTCGAGAGAAGACACCATCCCTTCCCATTCGATATGTTTACCAGGTAACGTTCAAATGATCATGATGACATTTATTATCCTCAGATTATGTTCAAGGCATATGAAATGTTCAGGCTCTCTCCCCGCTCACCTCTTGTAAGGGTGGATGTTCCCCACAACTGTAAGATCACCATTTGTGGGGATGTTCACGGCCAATTTTTGGATTTGATTAACATTTTTGAGATTAATGGATGGCCGTCAAAGTCACACTACTATTTATTCAATGGCGATTTCGTCGATCGAGGCCCCTTTTCTGTCGAAACCATATTGACTCTTCTTTCGCTCAAATGTGCATTCCCCTCTTCCTTCTTTATGAATAGAGGAAACCATGAGACATCAACGATGAACAAAATTTATGGCTTTGAGGCGGAATTGACAAAAAAATACTCCTCCTATCCAGAACTTTTTGGACTTTTCCAGGATCTTTTTAATTCTCTTCCTCTTTGCCATGTCATCCAATCGGAGATTTTTGTAAGCTACCATATGATCGTTAAATTTATCCCATAGGTCTCCCATGGCGGGATTCCTCGTGAAGGAGATATCACGCTGGCACAGATTGAAAAGATCGACCGATTTTCTCCTGCGATCCAAGATAGTAGGCTGGAAATGCACTTTACTAACCTTACAGAAACAATCGTGGAGGACCTACTTTGGGCAGATCCAACAGAAGGAACCGGCATCCTCCCTTCACAGAGAGGAACATCGGTCATGTTTGGAAGTGATATTACAGAGAAATTTCTTGCGACCAATAATCTCAGTAAGCTTGTAACCATTTTAATTCAGAACGCATCATCCGCTCACACGAGTATAAGGAAGAAGGTTATGCAACCATGCATCAGGGATGTTGCGTTACAATATTTTCTGCTCCAGGATATATGTATGTCTAATCACCCAATTTTCCAATCTTAGGAGCGGAACTAATGCAGGAGCTTTTATCAACATTGAGGCCCAGAAACAAGCCGGAGACGACATGCCCACGCTTGGGCCGCTTTCATTTGTCAAGTTTAATAAAGTTCAGGAGAGCTGAATGCTTAAATTTTAATTACACTTTAAATTAAAATTTTCTTATCCCTAAAGTAAGTATCTTGCCCTTTACGCACCGGATTATTACTGTTTTTCATCGATCAGGGTTTTTTACTAATCTTTAGCATATCTTATAAATGGGTCGAGTAATCCGTGTTCAGCGCAAAGGAAAAGGATCGGTCTTCAAGGCCCAMACCCACCACCGCAAAGGGGCAGCTAAGCTTCGCCCAATTGACTACTCCGAGCGTGAGGGATATCTCCGCGGGTTGGTTAAGGAAATCATTCATGACCCAGGTCGTGGTGCTCCGCTAGCAAAGATCGAATTTCGCGATCCATACAAATTTCGCAAGGAGACTTTCACAATGATTGCCACTGAGGGCATGTATACTGGCCAATTTGTTTATGTCGGAAAAAAGGCTGCATTGGTGGTGGGAAACACCCTTCCTGTTGGTCAAATGCCAGAAGGAACCATCGTTTGCAACGTTGAGGAGCATTATGGTGATCGAGGATCTCTCGCCAGAACCTCTGGAAACTATGCCACTGTGATTGCCCATAACACTGACGATCAAAAGACCCGCATCAAGCTCCCATCTGGTGCCAAGAAAGTCATCTCTTCTGGATGCCGTGCTACCATTGGTATTGTCGCTGGTGGTGGACGTATTGACAAGCCTCTGCTGAAGGCCGGTCGTGCTTACTACAAGTATAAGGCGAAGCGCAATTGCTGGCCAAAGGTTCGTGGTGTTGCTATGAATCCAGTCGACCATCCGCATGGTGGTGGTAATCACCAACACGTTGGTCATGCTACAACGGTCTCTCGATATGCACCGCCCGGAAAGAAGGTCGGTCTTATTGCAGCTCGTCGCACTGGTCTCCTCCGTGGTACAAAGAAAATACGCGAAACCAAGTCTGCTTGATGATGCTCCTTAATAATAAACTATCTAAAGGCCATTGGCGGTACTGTAATTTTATGGTAAAAAATAAATTATTCGATCGAAACGAGCTGGAGACCTTGGTCTCCACCGACTGCGAGAGCAAACTTTCCGGCCTCCTCAACCAATGCAAGAGAAAAAAGTTGATTTGATTGTTGCATCACTGTTTCTCCGATAGAGGAGTCTGAGGTAGCCCTTTTTCCGGTAATACGGAGATCCCAAGTCTTGATTACCCCATCTTGTCCCACGGAATACAAGCCCGAAGTTGAAGATTTGGAGAAGACAACCGCAGTAGGAAGCAACTTATGCCCATGAAGGCTTTTAAAGCACGAATTTTTTTGACGAGCATCCCAGAGCCGGACGGTAAGGTCTGCAGCAGGAGAAGCCATCAAATTAGGGTCCGATGGACAAAGAGCTATGCCCAAAAGAGGAACCCCATGAGCGGTGGTCGATATCATTTCCTCTTTCACCAAATCCCAATGCCGACTAGAGCCATCAAGAGAGGCCGAAATTAGCAGAGAAGGCGAGATTACCCCTCCACTTGCCATTCCGGATGGAATAGAACATGCAGAAGCCAATCCAGTCACTGCGCCCGAGTGACCCTCAAGCACGATCTTTGTAGAAGAAGTGACAATGGGAGATAAATTAAATTCGGAGATCCTAATGCTCCTGTCAAATGAACCGGTCGCAAAGAGAATCGAACTCTGAGATTCTTGCATAATAGCTGCAGATTCAATGGTATTAGAATGCCCATCTGTGACTCCCATAATTGCCTCTTTGCTTTTCATAGAAACGAGAGAAGACGAAAATTTATGAGACACAACAAGGTACGAGGAAGAAGGTGTGGCGAGCACCGATTTTATTGGCATCTCTCCGTCGATCAAAAGTGACGATGATATTGTGTTATGTTCGAGCGAATCAACAAAATGTAACTTTCCGGAATAATCCCCAAAGGCCATGAAGGACGAAGCTCCATTTTTTAATGGGGCGATTGAAGAGACCCAGTCGTCAGTTTGAAGGGAAAAGGCAATGCTTTTTGGCTTTTGGATTCTAGGGATAATTAATATGGTAAGTAGGTTTTCATGAGACCAGCTATTGCGAGCCAAAAAAGATCCAAGGGACCCTGACAAAAACTGGCCATCAATGGAAAAATCAAAGTTATCAAAAGAAAGCTCTTTGGAAAGAAAGAGAGACGTAAGTAATTCCCTAAGCTCTGAAGAACAAACGGAGGTAGGAATTAAAAGACTGTTCTCCGGTAAGGTCCCAATAAGACTGGGATGGAAGCTTTCAAACCGGACTTGGACCTGAGCCTGAGTATGTGAAGCATGGCCCTCTCTCATGGTGATGCGGTTATTAAAAAATTAAATTATTTTAAAAAGCACACAAATCCTTTTGGCCGGCGGCACCCACAAGCTACTGAGACAATCAAATTCCAAGTAAATATAAACGTTTATTGCCTATTTCTTCATGGCAGTCAGGCGTTTGTCACGTTCCTCGGTGATGGTGAAACGGATACCCTTGGCCTTTGGAAGCGAGACCCAAGACTTATTTCCCTGCCCGATGATGAAGATATTTGACATGCGGGTGGCAAAAGAACGGTCGCGAGAATCCTTGACATGGACAATGTCAAAACCGCCATGGTGACGTTCGCGGTGTGTGATGACACCTACGCGTCCCATGTTGTGACCTCCAGTGATCATGACAACATTTCCGGTTTCAAACTTGATGAATTCCTCTAGCTTGCCAGTTTCCATGTTGAACTTGACTGTGTCATTTACACGGATTGATGGATCTGGGTAGCGAAAAGTACGACCATCATGGGTGACAATGAAGGGAACACCCTTGGCTCCAAGTTGGCACTTTTTGACTTTGCAAAGCTTGTATTTGGCTTCTTCCTCGGAAATTCTATGGATAACAAAGCGGCCCTTGGTATCGTAAAGAAGGCGGAAGTTTTCATTGGTTTTTTCGATAGAAATAACATCCATAAATCCGGCAGGATACGTGGTATCGGTACGAACTTTGTGATCAACCTTCACCAAACGCTGCATGAGAATCGACATGACTTCCTTTCTGGTCAAAGCGTACTTCAAGCGGTTGCGGAGGAAAACAATAAGGGGAAGGCACTCGCGAAGTTTATGAGGACCGGTGGATGGGCGTGGGGCAAATGTTCCTGAAAGCTTGTCCAACATCCAGGATTTTGGAGCCGCCATGCGCTTAAGATGTTTCTTTATGCCACGAGCCTAGATAATTAGATTGGAATGCCAAATTGGATGAGAATATGGATGGATGAAATATCGGCAATCTTCAATGCAGAAACGTATGGCGACTTACCATTTCAGTAAAAACGAATTAATTTATTTTGTTTTTATAAATTTCTAATCAATTTAATTGGAAAGTTTTTAAAATTGCTTGTCTATCCATGCCTTCTAATTGGAAACTTTTCCCTTCATGCTCAAACCTTGTTTCACTATATAGGGTCGGGGCCAGTATTATGTTACACATGCACATCTTTTTTAATGCTGATTTCTTACCACTCTTATGATTCCTTTGCAGACCTGACTTCCAAAGAGCCGGAGACTTTTTTAAATTTTATCCATTCCCCGATTCCTTGCGGACGCGTCCAAATGTGCCGGATTTTAAGGCAGGAAGAGCCAAAAGGCTCTTTTGAATTATTTCTGGATGGAGTTGCAGCGACCGCCGATATTTCCATCCTAACAGCAAGAAAAATACCTACTTCGGGCCTTTTTTCCGAATATAGAATATTTAGAAAGGATAAGAATGCACCGGGTCCTTTATCGTCAGACTCCATCGTTGCTGTCGTGCGTTCCAACTTTTGGGGAACGGCCTTTGAAATTACATCTCCCTCGCTTTTTCATTTAGATGCTTCATTACACCAGGATATAAATATTGGCTGCATCCTGTATAAGCCCAATTTTCTTGGGATTCACGGGCCTCGCCGGATGAGGATTCTTTTTCCATATTTAAACTCGACGTTCACGGCAAAAAGTCTCTCTTGTACCGGATCCATTGTTCATTCAAAGGTTGACCCTACGTTCTTTTCTTTGTACAAAAAGAACTTGGCAAAAAACAATGTGCTGCTTTTGAAAAATAAGCAACCCGCTTGGAGTGAAGGTATGTGAATAGAAGTTTACGTTATCCATCATGTAGAGCATCAATCTCACGTGCTTAATTTCCACGGCCGTGTTTCGCACCCCTCTGTGAAAAACTTTCAGCTCATACATCCATATGAAGGTAGAACCTTGGACTATGATGACTTTAGATTCATACATAATCATGCAGTTCGGAAAGGTTGGCAAGGATATGTTTATTATGGACATAAGGTATCCAATGTCCCTGGTCCAAGCGTTTTCCATCGCCCTGACTAGCTTTGCCTTCAAGCTTGCCTGTGAATAAATCTTTCACGAAGAAAAAACAGATGGCCATAGGCCCTGCTTTTTTATGTGCTTGATTTGGGAATCAAACAGAACATGCTCAATTTGCCCGATGATTTTGTTGCACGGGTTTTCATAAATTTTAACCATCACATAGCCACCTACAATGTTATGTACAAAAGTTACCCCGTTTTACCCAAAGCGTGTTTTTAAACCGGTTAGGCAACTGCACAAGAACACCGGATGATGGTGGGCCATCTGTCTGCACGCGGCTGTCCGCATCGGAGTTTATCGAAACTGGAAGCGAGATTTCGAAAAGGGATTGGCCCTTTACTGCAGTTACCAGTGCAATGTACGTATTTTCAGCTATGTCTTCTGAGCTGACGGGCAAAGGGAAATCCTCCAATGAGCCTTGTTGAATTGACCGCCTTGGTAAAACCATGCTTTTTAAAAAGCACAAGTTAAAGTGGATTCAATTTAATTCAATGCAATTTAATTTGATTCGATTTGGTTTGGTTTCAAAGATTTGCGTGGTGTAATAAAATTTCCATTGAAGGGCACAATGACCAATAAACTCGCATATGTGCATTTTAAAAAGCCCCGCTATCACATGAGTTTTAATAGCTGCAAAATGAACTCCTCAGCTCGCATGCTGCCATTGACCCTTTCCCGTATTTTAAAATATGCCGGGGATTGGGGGTTGTCAATATTCTGCCTATCATTTGGCTTATATTTAGAGACGGTGACGCCCTTTGAGCGATATATAATCCCAGATCAAACGATCAGCTATCCCTTTACATTTGATGAAAAGGTTCCTCCCGTTTGGCTCCCTTTCATCGGAATTCTTCTCCCGGTATTGATAATAATTTTGACCACCTTTTTTCTGTATTTGTCTGTCTTTTTCCGCTATTCGCGGGTAAAGTATCAGGGGAAACTTTTGTCAAAGTTCCACTGGACGCAATATTTGCATCTCAACATACTTGGGCTTTTCATGAGCGTCTCCTGCTGCTATTTGACCACAAACATTTTAAAGATCACTTGTGGCCGGTTGCGCCCAGATTTCATCGATAGATGCAAACCAAAATCTTTGGTTATATTTCCCATTATTTGTACAGGCAATGTAAGGGATATTTTTGAAGGCCGAAAAAGCTTTCCCTCTGGCCATACGTCAAGTAAGAACTCCACCCACCCATAACAAATAGTTTCGTTTAGCGGACTTGCATATATCTTTTTTCTTTTTCTTTCCATCTTTTGGAGTGTCAGCCATTCCAATTGCCACCACCATAGCCACGGGTCTTTTTTCAAGCTTATTTTGACCATTTTGCCATTAATGGCTGCCACGTTGGTGGGAATCTCAAGGCTCGATGACTATAGACACCATTGGCAAGATGTTTCCGCCGGTGCTCTCTTGGGTATCAAATGGATTTTTCATCTCATCTAGGAGTGCTCTTTGCATATATATCATTTCGGCAATTTAATGGAAATCCATTTTCAAGGCCAAAATGTCAAGAAAAGGCATTGACACCGCTTACCAGCGACAGCATTCAAACCCTAGACGATGGCGTTTAGGGTTAGGCCCATTTTCCCCCATGTATAAGGGTGGGGTCCCATAATAAATATTAAGCTAGGGTTACTGATTTATTACTTTGTTATGAGATGACTTTTGTTCCGGTTCTAGATATCCTTTTGTTCCATACATCTTCAGAACCGCAACTTTTGTACCGGCATGCAAAGACAACCGAAGAAAGCTTCCAAAATACGGACCTGCTGTTTGGCGGTCTCCAATCCCTACGGGTCTTCTGCGGGAGGATAAAAGAGTTACAAGGCAAGAGCAATGCCCACCCATCTTCTCAAGATTCATCCGCAGCCAGCAAAGTATTATTTAATTCAATGGCGTCATCTTTCAAAAGTTTCAAAACACCCTTCTATTCGCTGTATTTTTTCGAGTCTGCAACGGGATTCCAAATCATCCTCGT